TATTTACTTTTGGGAATTCTTTACTGTTGAAACTTTTTTATCTGAACAATGCACCATGGGATTCGTTGACTGAAAATAAGTCAGAAACAAAATATGTTTAGTTCCCCCACTTTTTAAAAGGTATTTAGTCCCCCAAAAGCAGGGGGGCAGGGGTGGGGCATAAACTATCTCATGTTGCACGTATATGCCAGTACTAAAATAAATTTTTATAGCAACAACAAAATCAGTGATTAGAAAATGAGAAATAATAGCTATGATGAAGTTTGCATTTTAAGCAAATCATATTTGCCACTATTCTCTTTTTCTTGCTATTATTAACTAATTTTATGGGAGGTAAAGATAAGTTTGAGATAGGAAGTCTGCACATTTGTTTATTATGTGGGAAGGTTGATGTTTTTCTGTTTATCTTCATTGGAAATCAATTGATAATGAACTTGAGCCAGTGCTGAGAGGCTTTAGCGCAAGAGAAAACAAGAAGTAAGAGGATTTAGTATTTAAAAATTAATATGTTAGTTCACCAATTGTGTTGGCACATTTGTTAGTATGAAAATGTATGATACAGTTGTTTAGAATGGTGAGGATTGAAATAGTCATGCACAAGTAGTGTGAACTTGAAGAAAATTCACTGAACCTGTCTGATTCTTGACTCATCTGTAAGGTGAGGATGATAATATTTAATGATTCATTTTTTAGAAAGAGAAAATTGTTGCATTACTGGTCAGTTACAGTAAAGCTTTTTACTGGGCTTTGCCTATAAATGTTTCCTGATGCATCTTATTTCACAAGCCCTACACAATTGAATTGCAATGCTGTATTCTTCTCCACCTTCCTTTGTCATGATATCATCAAAACATCTAAATCCAGAAAAAGTCAAAAGTTTATTTAGCAGTGTGCATCTCCTTTAGTTTGCACAAATGTTGCTCTGCCTTCCCACCTGTGGCAGCCAACCTGCTTCAAGTTAGAATAATTCTGTAGAGTAGAATAGGGGGCTCTTTATCTCTCTATTTAATCAACTGTGGCCTCTACTGCAACTGCATTTCAGTTCAGCTTCTCCCTTGCTGGGTCATGCTTGCTACACTCCCACAAAGATATGGTTCCTTGGAGTTCTTCCCAGCCTATATACAAATCCATCTCTTCCCTGGGAGAACTCAAACTGAGGCATCTTATACAATAATTTAAATTAAAAAATCATGGTGACTCAATGGCAAATGGTAGTAGATCAGAACTGGCTGAGAGCAAATTTGGTCAGGAAGGTCTTGAGCTAGTGCCAAAGCTAATTCCCACTGACCCCAGGTTGTGCTAAGAAGAGTGGTTCTGGGTGGGCAGTGGAAATATGTGGGAGCATTTTTGAGTGTTTGGATACACCAAAGTGGGTAGGAGCCAGTGATACTAGACATTTTCTGATATGCATAGTCCCACAAGA